GAAACCACATCACTTGAGGACTACCAACAGCAGCAACAGCTAAAATGTATAGCACATGTAACTCGAAGAGAAAAATAATGACATAATCCAAATGTTAACATTCTACACCACTTCAAATAGAATATTTAAGAAGGAAACCCCCATTAGTACTGGAAGGAGCGATAACAGCTACTAGACTTGAGAAACCTGTTTTCCTGAAAAAAAAATCTTAGGGGAGAGAATTTCATAAATTTCAATTTAAAAAAAAACTCTATTGGCTGCTGTCAATGTTTCTTTGTAGGGAAACGTAAAGATTTCCAAAGATTTTAAATAATATATTTTTTTATATTATTTTTCATTTTAATTTCATTTTATACATTAAATTAAATTCCTTTTGTTTATATATATTATTAAGGAGCACTCATATTTCTTAGTTAGTAATGATAAGCCGGTCCTCTATTGAAATGCTGAAAGGCAAATACTAAGAAAAAATGTTAAGTGACATTTAAAATCCTTTGTGTCGAAATTTAATTTTAGTGTTTGGCCCAGTATATTTATGTAATATATTTAATATAAGATGAGAGAAGCTAAATCTATGTATCATTTGGACATAACTAGCATATACAGTTAATTTTGATAGCTTGAGGGATAACATATCCCGATAAGATATTTCAATTCACCTCGCTAAAGGTTACTATTATGGGAAACTATTGATTGCTTATTAAGCCATAAATAGAGTAATGTCTTTAAACAGTGTCTAAATCATTCAAAATAGGGACCCTGGACATCTATACGTTTCTACCTTCAAGGTTACAAGGGTGTTTAGCCTTTAAAAAGTTGGGACGGGCAGAAATCATTAAATTCGGTTCTTGCCTCTTCTTTACAACGGATTGTTTTTGGATTAAAAAGATTCTTGTAAAAGTAATAGTCAGTTTGAGAGAGAAATTTGGCAGTGATACTCTGGTTTAGATTCCATAAATCTGTAATGCATAACGCCAATGGCGGGGCACCAGAGATTCACCATAATTTTCTGTTGGTACAATTTCAGTGTTTGGGTTCTTCGTCCTGACCAAACCATTGAGCATATCATTTACGATTGCCATAAGGGATCCGTTTTTCTCAACGGATTCTCCTCCAGTTCCTATCCTACGAATGCAGGTGTTCCCCAAGGCTCCATCCTTGGCCCCACTCTATTCCTTATTTTCATCAACGACCTTCCTGACACCATAGATTCCCAAGTTGACATCTACGCGGACGACACTATAATTTACTCCTGCCTCAAAAACAAATCCAGTGTCGGTGACAAAACTAACCTGGCCGCTCATCTTGAAATAGACCTCCAATCGGTTGTTAATTGGGGCAAGAATTGGCTGGTCAACTTTAACGCCTCAAAAACTAAACTACTCTCTATTAATCAACATAGAGATCCTTCCCTGCCCCCCCCATTAGAATGTCTGACGCTCAACTTGTCGAGAGCAACTCTCTGCGTCTGCTCGGTCTGACGTTGACTGCTGACCTGAGATGGAACAAATACATTGAGTCAATTTCATCGTCCACCGCGAGGAAAGTTGGTTCTCTGTGCCGCGCCAGGAATTTTTTCTCCCCGGAATCGATACTTCAAATATATAAATCAACTATTCGCCCTTGCATGAAGTATTGCTGCCATATATGGTTTGGGGAACCTTATGTTTACCTCGGTGTTCTTGACAAGATCCAGAGACGGATATGTAATATAATTGGCCCTAATCTGGCATCTCGTCTACATTCACTCTCTCACAGACGCGCCGTCGCCTCTCTCTGTCATTTTTACAAATACTTCCATGGTAATTGCTCCGATGAGCTGTTTTCGCTGGTTCCCAGACTCCATGAATTCAAGCGCCCTACGAGGCTGGCATCCCGCTCTCACCCCTTACACTGTAGAAACTTTTAAATGTAGCCGTCTCTTCTACTCCAATAGCTTCATACCTCGCACCTCTCGCCTGTGGAACACCCTTCCCAATTACTGTTTCCCTGAGAGCTATAATCTCCAACTATTAAAATGTAATGCCAATCGACATCTCAAGTTACCTTGATCTATCCACTATCCCTCTCCTCATCCTTTCTTCTATCACTCCTATCTGCTCTTGCTCAAAATCTTCTGCAACCCCCTGCATCCTAGTGGCTTCGCGCCTTGCTCGCGGCGTAATGCTTAAAAAAATCACTATTCAATCAAGAAATATATCATTCGAATGTCTTAGACGCAGTATCGAACCCACTTCAAAACGTCGAACTCTGAGTTTCATGGCTTCCTGTGGAACCCATTTCTTGAGTTTGTTCACTTTGCCAATTTTCTTGAGACGTTACGATATTGTTGAAATGCCGACATCCATTGTCTGAGACATTTCTATGACACTTTGACGTGGGTTTTGTTCGACTAGTGTTTTCAGATGTTTGTCAAGTGAAGTTACATGTTCCTTATCAGACTGATCTTCAAGAATCGTATCTACACTGCGGAACTTTAGAAACCAGCGTTGTACTGTCCGCTCGCAAATCGATGCCTCACCCTCCGCTGTGTTAATTTGGCAGCAGTGTCCGAAGCATATTTTGACCAAGCTTGAACACCTACAAAAATATAGACTCATCTCATGTTCAATATAGTGATTTTCCAGACGTAGCACAAGGCCGAAAGTATAGGGCGCCCAGTGAGGATCGAACTCACTATTCAGTCGCAATTGTTCTAGAGAGACAAGCTTGCTAACCATTACACCGCCTCAATCAAGGTTCTTAAATATATTGATTTTCAAGCGTAGTGTAGATGTGGCACAAGGCCGAAAGTGGAGGGCACCCAATGAGGATCGAACTCACTATTCAGTCGCAATTGTTCTAGAGAGACAAGCTTGCTAACCATTACACCGCCTCGAGGTGCCCTCTCTCATGTTCAATATATGGGATATATAATTTCTATAAGTTCAATTCTGAAAGAGATTGATACAAAAGTAACAAAGAGGGCACTTTAGACCAATGATTGCCAACGTGGGGTGCATGCCCTACCGTTGGGGCATGGTAATATTTTGCTGGGGCATGCGTAGGATGTGCACCCTTCGGCTTGCTATACCAACAGAATAAGGGTATAATTCGAGATTGAGTTATTAATAGTTATTAACATTAATTTGTTGTTACCATTTCTATCTTAATATTTAGCTGATTGTTGCTTTAATGCTGTAAATTATTTATTATTGAAGAAAAGAAATCAACTGGATATCATTAAACGAGGAGACTTGACGCTTAAGCTGACTAAATGTCTAATATAAAATCTATCTGTAGCAGACATGATGCACAAGGATCTCACTAACAGTCATTTTGTGATAAGCTCAAATTTCATTTTGCATTATTATTTCATGATTAAAATGATCAAAGTATATTACAGAATAAGTTTTCATTCAAATATTTTATATTTCTGCCTTTCAGTTCTCTAGTATATGTTTGAAACTATATATATTTAACTGTCTTTTTGTTTTTTTGTTTTTAATTTTCCGCTTTCATGGAAGCCATTGTCTTTGGAGGCTTGTTTAGAGACCAAGTTAATGGGCTTTTAAACTTCCTTAACGTGAATTGCAGTAAAATTTTGAATATGTAAGAATTAAATATTACAGTTGGGGGGCACTAGAATTTTAGAAATATCAAAGTGGAGCATTGCCCCAAATCGTCTTGGAACCACTGCTTTAGACAAACGAAAGTTCTTTGGTAAAAATCTTATTTCGTTTTTTTTATGGAATATTTTCTTGGTATACGCATTGCGTGTGTATATAGATTGTCTAATTTTTTAGTAAGTTCTTCATTTATAAGCGGTTATCAAAGAGTTCATTATTTGTCGTAAATATAAAAAGTACTTAAAAATAAAATCATTAATTTTTAATCAAATTTCTCTCATATATATATATATACATACATACATACATACATACACACACACACACGCACACATACACACACACACACACACACACACATATATATATATATATATATATATATATATATATATATATATATATATATATATATATATGAATAAAAAAAAAGGAAAACTTATCTTAGTTGACACCTTTCGTTCTCTGAGGGATTTATTAAGGTAAATGTGTCATGATGAAGTCGCTCAGAGGCAGAAAGGCGTTCTTTTTACATATACACTCTATCTGAAACTTTTACACACACACAAACACACACACACATATATATATAAATATATATATATATATATATATATATATATATATATATATATATATATATATATATATATATATAACCAGAATATATATATAAATATATATATATATATATATATATATATATATATATATAACAAAAAGTCTACAATATCAAAAGAAAAATAATATTAATTCCAACAGCCATAAAAAAGTAGTTACATAATCCTACACACAAACTCCATAAAAGCCATCATCGAAAATAACCTGTCCAACCTTGACCTAAAATTCATCAACACCGTTTCTAAATCAATAACGTATATAGTTACCTGTAGACAAAAAAGCAACAAGACAAAGTAGGAATATACAAAATAGATTGTGAATTTCTAAAGAAGTAATGGAATATTTATTTATTTATTATTATTATTATTATAATTTTTATTACCATTAGTATTATTATTATTAATTCGACAGATTTTTATTATTAAAAGCGATTTTTAATGGATACCCATATTTGATTAGACTCTCCGTTTATTTTAAATAATATATAGTTTCGTTTATTTGCCTGAATATTCCAGAAATCATTTTAAAGTAAAATGATTTGAACTGACGCCCCCCTTTGCTGGAAAAATCGTTGTTAGATCCAATCTACTTTTGACTGATTCGGTATCGAAGGGCGTCGCCGATCAGGCAAGGCTTAATATTGCCTTTAAGAAAAATCAGTCATTAGTTTTTTATTTATTATAACAACAGATTTGTATTATTTTGAACATTATTTTTAGTGGATACTCGTATTTGAGTTGGTGCTCCATTTGCAAAGTGGAGAACGGCGTACGACTACCGGTTCCTGTACGATCACCAAAGTTAAGCAACTTCGATCCTGGTCAGTACATAGATGGGTGACCGATTGGAAATACTACGTGGTGTCAGCTTGGATATACGGGTGGTGTAATGGATATACGGGTGGTGTATGCGGAATTGTTAATAAGCGAGACGTGTCCAAGTACCCGTTTTGGCTCCTTTATTCACTTACTCGCAAATACACTTAGGAAAGGCAAGAACTTACCTTCCCTCCAGTTATGGGTTAAATAAATCTTGTACCATTATTATCTCTGAAAAAAAAAAGAAATCTTACAATCTAAAAATGAAAGCGAACATTCATTCTGGATTAGGGAAATGTTCAAGAAAACCAGCTGAATCTGCCTCAAACAATGTCAGATTTCTCCGTGATGGAATCCACTGATGCACGTTTGATCAGGTACTAGAAGGCGTGGTACCCACCAGTAGATACTTTCGTCAAGCCATGTTCATTGTGAAGAATATTCTCAACTCTTTCACAGGACATGCTAATAACATTGGCTATTTGATTTATAGTCAATAGCCTGTCATCCATCACCATGTGGTGAATACAATATTTTCCTTGGTGTTGGCAGCTGCAGGATGTCCAGACCTTGGGCAATCTTCAAGACTCTCCTTTCTCCTTCTAAATTCAGCTGCCCACTTTTGCACTATTGATAAAGCTGGAACGTCATTCCCTAACGTAGTGACTATGCCAACATAAATGTCCTTGTTCTTGTTATATACAAGATAAGATAATATGTAGTAGTCCACATACTGAAATTGACTAAATACAATGCTTGAGAGTCACTCAAGGTAGAAACTTACTATTAAAATGATTATGATGAATAAAAGAGGAGACAGTAGGAAGTGATGTAGTTTATCGTCATACCCAAGACGCAGATGTAGTTTATGATACACAGGACACCATTCCCTAATGGAGCAACCATATCAGCATCAATCTTTTTTCTGCAGGTACTTGATAACCACAAGAAGACAAATTTAGTTCCTTTTCCAGAGAAGTCTCTACTTGTTACGTTGGAAGTTTTTTTAATAGTCAGATGTCAGCTAATGTTCAAAGAAGCGATACAGTTATTAATAAGAAGAGTTGAAATGAATGCATAAATATATAAACTTTCATAGTGTTTTGACCCCAGTTTTGGGGTTAACTATTTGCCCATAGTTCGGACCCTAATATGTGCTACCATCCCAGATCAGGGTAGAACTGGGAACACCAGCAATTAAGAGGTGGTTTCACGCGCGTCAAAGCCTCCTGATCAGAGGTCTTGCTGCCGGATGTAGTTTATCGTCTTACACAGGACACGGAATTATTAGTAAAATATAAAGAATATTTTCAATTAACTAATATTTTACAGGACTATTTTTATTATTATTCAATTCAAAGGTATTTTTATGTTGAATGATACATCATCTTGCCAATTAACCTCACAAATAGTTTTTATTGATTTACAGTCCCCCCCCCCCGAAAGAAAAGTTATCCGAAATGTTTAGGATGAAGTTTTATGTTAGGTTCTAAAATACAGTATTTTTGATTTCCCTTGATTTTCATTCAGCTCCTCGTAGTATTGACTTCCTTGATTTTGCCTTTCATTCAGCTCCTCGTAGTATTGACTTCCCTTGATTTTGCCTTTCATTCAGCTCCTCGTAGTATTGACTTCCCTTGATTTTGCCTTTCATTCAGCTCCTCGTAGTATTGACTTCCCTTGATTTTGCCTTTCATTCAGCTCCTCGTAGTATTGACTTCCCTTGATTTTGCCTTTCATTCAGCTCCTCGTAGTATTGACTTCCCTTGATTTTGCCTTTCATTCAGCTCCTCGTAGTATTGACTTCCCTTGATTTTGCCTTTTTGCTCCTTTCACTTTTGCCTTTCATTCAGCTCCTCGTAGTATTGACTTCCCTTGATTTTGCCTTTCATTCAGCTCCTCGTAGTATTGACTTCCCTTGATTTTGCCTTTCATTCAGCTCCTCGTAGTATTGACTTCCTTGATTTTGCCTTTCATTCAGCTCCTCGTAGTATTGACTTCCCTTGATTTTGCCTTTCATTCAGCTCCTCGTAGTATTGACTTCCCTTGATTTTGCCTTTCATTCAGCTCCTCGTAGTATTGACTTCCCTTGATTTTGCCTTTCATTCAGCTCCTCGTAGTATTTTCTTGATTTTTGCCTTTCATTCAGCTCCTCGTAGTATTGACTTCCCTTGATTTTGCCTTTCATTCAGCTCCTCGTAGTATTGACTTCCCTTGATTTTGCCTTTCATTCAGCTCCTCGTAGTATTGACTTCCCTTGATTTTTGCCTTTCATTCAGCTCCTCGTAGTATTGACTTCCCTTGATTTTGCCTTTCATTCAGCTCCTCGTAGTATTGACTTCCCTTGATTTTGCCTTTCATTCAGCTCCTTGATTTTGCCTTTCATTCAGCTCCTCGTAGTATTGACTTCCCTTGATTTTTGCCTTTCATTCAGCTCCTCGTAGTATTGACTTCCCTTGATTTTGCCTTTCATTCAGCTCCTCGTAGTATTGACTTCCCTTGATTTTGCCTTTCATTCAGCTCCTCGTAGTATTGACTTCCCTTGATTTTGCCTTTCATTCAGCTCCTCGTAGTATTGACTTCCCTTGATTTTGCCTTTCATTTCAGCTCCTCGTAGTATTGACTTCCCTTGATTTGCCCTTTCATTCAGCTCCTCGTAGTATTGACTTCCCTTGATTTTGCCTTTCATTCAGCTCCTCGTAGTATTGACTTCCTTGATTTTGCCTTTCATTCAGCTCCTCGTAGTATTGACTTCCCTTGATTTTTGCCTTTCATTCAGCTCCTCGTAGTATTGACTTCCCTTGATTTTGCCTTTCATTCAGCTCCTCGTATTGACTTCCTTGATTTTGCCCTTTCATTCAGCTCCTCGTAGTATTTTCCCTTGATTTTGCCTTTCATTCAGCTCCTCGTAGTATTGACTTCCCTTGATTTTGCCTTTCATTCAGCTCCTCGTAGTATTGACTTCCCTTGATTTTGCCTTTCATTCAGCTCCTCGTAGTATTGACTTCCCTTGATTTTGCCTTTCATTCAGCTCCTCGTAGTATTGACTTTTGATTTTTGCCTTTCATTCAGCTCCTCGTAGTATTGACTTCCCTTGATTTTGCCTTTCATTCAGCTCCTCGTAGTATTGACTTCCCTTGATTTTTGCCTTTCATTCAGCTCCTCGTAGTATTGACTTCCCTTGATTTTGCCTTTCATTCAGCTCCTCGTAGTATTGACTTCCCTTGATTTTGCCTTTCATTCAGCTCCTCGTAGTATTGATTTTTGCCTTTCATTCAGCTCCTCGTAGTATTTTTTGATTTTGCCTTTCATTCAGCTCCTCGTAGTATTGACTTCCCTTGATTTTGCCTTTCATTCAGCTCCTCGTAGTATTGACTTCCTTGATTTTGCCTTTCATTCAGCTCCTCGTAGTATTGACTTCCCTTGATTTTGCCTTTCATTCAGCTCCTCGTAGTATTGACTTCCCTTGATTTTGCCTTTCATTCAGCTCCTCGTAGTATTGACTTCCCTTGATTTTGCCTTTCATTCAGCTCCTCGTAGTATTGACTTCCCTTGATTTTGCCTTTCATTCAGCTCCTCGTAGTATTGACTTCCCTTGATTTTGCCTTTCATTCAGCTTCGTAGTATTGACTTCCCTTGATTTTGCCTTTCATTCAGCTCCTCGTAGTATTGACTTCCCTTGATTTTGCCTTTCATTCAGCTCCTCGTAGTATTGACTTCCCTTGATTTTGATTTTGCCTTTCATTCAGCTCCTCGTAGTATTGACTTCCCTTGATTTTGCCTTTCATTCAGCTCCTTCATTCCCTTGATTTTGCCTTTCATTCAGCTCCTCGTAGTATTGACTTCCCTTGATTTTTGATTTTGCCTTTCATTCAGCTCCTCGTAGTATTGACTTCCCTTGATTTTGCCTTTCATTCAGCTCCTCGTAGTATTGACTTCCCTTGATTTTGCCTTTCATTCAGCTCCTCGTAGTATTATTGATTTTGCCTTTCATTCAGCTCCTCGTAGTATTGACTTCCCTTGATTTTGCCTTTCATTCAGCTCCTCGTAGTATTGACTTCCCTTCCCTTTTTGCCTTTCATTCAGCTCCTCGTAGTATTGACTTCCCTTGATTTTGCCTTTCATTCAGCTCCTCGTAGTATTGACTTCCCTTGATTTTGCCTTTCATTCAGCTCCTCGTAGTATTGACTTCCCTTGATTTTGCCTTTCATTCAGCTCCTCGTAGTATTGACTTCCCTTGATTTTGCCTTTCATTCAGCTCCTCGTAGTATTGACTTCCCTTGATTTTGCCTTTCATTCAGCTCCTCGTAGTATTGACTTCCCTTGATTTTGCCTTTCATTCAGCTCCTCGTAGTATTGACTTCCCTTGATTTTGCCTTTCATTCAGCTCCTCGTAGTATTGACTTCCCTTGATTTTGCCTTTCATTCAGCTCCTCGTAGTATTGACTTCCCTTGATTTTGCCTTTCATTCAGCTCCTCGTAGTATTGACTTCCCTTGATTTTGCCTTTCATTCAGCTCCTCGTAGTATTGACTTCCCTTGATTTTGCCTTTCATTCAGCTCCTCGTAGTATTGACTTCCCTTGATTTTGCCTTTCATTGAATTGGCCTTTCATTCAGCTCCTCGTAAAACTTCCCTTGATTTTGCCTTTCATTAATATTTTGCCTTTCATTCAGCTCCTCGTAGTATTGACTTCCCTTGATTTTGCCTTTCATTCAAGATTTTGCCTTTCATTCAAGTATTGACTTCCTTGATTTTGCCTTTCATTCAGCTCCTCGTAGTATTGACTTCCCTTGATTTTGCCTTTCATTCAAATTGACTTCCCTTGATTTTGCCTTTCATTCAGCTCCTCGTAGTATTGACTTCCCTTGATTTTGCCTTTCATTCAGCTCCTCGTAGTATTGACTTCCCTTGATTTTGCCTTTCATTCAGCTCCTCGTAGTATTGACTTCCCTTGAGTTTGCCTTTCATTCAGCTCCTCGTAGTATTGACTTCCCTTGCTTCCCTTTTTGCCTTTCATTCAGGAGGAATTGAATTTTGCCTTTCATTC